GTACCAGCATCAGTACCGCTACTGGTACCTCCTCAACCGGGACCTAAACCTATCATGGAAGCCGCACGACTGGCATCCGACCAACAATTGGTACCTTTCAGACAGGAGGCCTTAATGCAATTTTTAAAGGTCTTTTTTGTGTTTTATATGTACACATCACCTTGCGTCGCAGACATTCTAAAGCCCTGGAGCTCAGCTGTCTACTGTGGGTTTCGAGTAGACTGCGAGCAGCCTCTCTTTTTCTTCAGATTTAGTAAGGGGAGTGCACGCGCGCGCAAGCGTTGAGCGGCGAGACCGCGAGACGCGAGAAACGAGGGCGGCAGCCTGAGAAGCCTCTCCCGTCTCACGCCTTCACTCACGCGCGTGGTCATTTGCGTTTCTCGGGCGTTTTGCTCGACGGACCAGGAAAAAAGAGAGACTGCTTGTAGGCTAGGTTTCGAGTGACAAGTCCGGATGCAACGCATAGGGCTTATAATATCTGGATGTCCAGCTACGTGACTCTAGCCAACTAATGAGAAATAAATGTGGGGTCTTTTTTTACAACGTCAGAGCAACCGACAGAAAGCTACACGGAAGCGATGAAAACTTTAATTCCCATGTATAAACACTCTTAACCATTCTTTTCTTGATCAATACACCATATTTGCTCTGAAGCTGGACGTTTTTAATGCTCGAAACCTCCAGCTTTTCAGAAAATCCCTTTACTTTGACTAAGCCGGTCTGTATACTTAAGTATAGTAACTCACAAAACCTGCGGAAAAACGTACGTATCCCCTTCGATCACATTATTTGATTGTAGGACGGCAAGATCAGTCACTATTCTTATGAGGAGGACTTAATGATCAACGACGCCACAGATGTTATGATATTCAACGAAAATAATTGTAACTGCTCAAAGTCACCCCCTTCCTGCGATTGCTGGGTCCGAGTGAAAGGGCCTTTTTTCCCCATCAAAGGTAAATACATGTAATGTTATACGCAACTGAAAAATCAGTGAAAAAAATGGTCGTCTGGATCTGTTGTGAAGTATTTGAAAATTATTTTAAGATCTGGGACGTCTCACCTTTTAAGTTTCGTTTTTGTTTCATCAAGTGGGTCAAGGTTATATAGTCTTGATTTTCTCCTCGTACTGTTTTCCTGTTGGTCTTTTCCTTAATGCTATTTTAGGAATCTTCTTCGCTTTCCATTATCAGATGTTAGTTTCTCGAAGGTGGTCGTGTTTGTGATGATAGAGCTGACCTTGGTTCATTCGTCTCGTTGTAGTTCCTGTTTGGGTTTAGTTAATCAGCGTTTAAGCTTTTCATTGGTTTGTAGCTTCTTGCCGATCGCAACCATGTAGTCAGTAATACCAACACATTATCCAAACCAAGTTCACCTTGATTTCATTCCCATGGAGTCAGTTAACCCAAACATGTCCAGCTTTGGCTATAAAAACGCTACTATACTTGAACTAGTTTAAAAAGAGTTAGAAGAGTGAGAAGATTAAGATTGTTAGCAGAAGTCAAAGACGAATAAAGACCAAGATGTAAATCAGATCCCTGCTCGAACCACCCCCACACTTCTATACAGTCGTCACCCGACGCTCCTCCTCCAGCAAGAGTTAAAGGGGGAGTAGTTTGTTTTATACAAGTCATTGATTGATTGATTAATGACCATTAATTGATACTTTCATTCATTCATTGGGCCTTGATTGATTCACTCTGTCTTTCGATTTTACATTCAAAGCTGAAATTTATGTTTCTTAACTGAGGCACTTTTTAAATGATTTTCTTTCAGCCTGTATCCATGCAGACATAGATGAATCTTTCTTGGTAAGTCAGCAAAAACACAGCTCATTATAAAACTTAAACAGTTTAACCTTTTTCCCATATACTGAAATAATGTTCATTGATTACGCATGGTTTAGGCGTGACCTTTAAAAGTGGAATTTCAAGATAGGTGTGTGAGAATTGAATCACGAAAGTATTCTCATTTGGGGTGGACCTAAGTTGTCTGCGTCCACTGAAAATGGGTGATCGGAATCCTGCTATCAAAAAGCCTTTTCCCATCAGACATATTTACCAAGGGTCAAATCCAAGATACATCGATGTTCAACCATGCTACGGCTAGTATATTCTGAAACAAGAAACAACTAAATAATACTCTCTTGTTTTCAACTATAGCAGTGATTGGTTAAGACCAAAATCATGACACGTCACAACCGGAATATATGTTTCTAGGAATAAGTAGTATATTGAGCTAATTTGTTATATAGAGGCAGCCTTGACTTTTGGCCAATCAAATGATACCTCTTTAGCTTCGCCCAGATTGGCACCGCCTGCCGAAAGCGCTCGATAGACCTCAAAAAAGGTCGAGGTTAAACACCTCAGTTACACGAGCAAGGTTCCGAAAAATTATCCTTGGAAAGTTTTATTAGTAAATAGCGAACATTTTTTCTCGACGGTTACGTTGGGAAAAACTGAAAAAAAAACTTACTATGCGCAAAATAAAACAAGCAGCCTAAAAAGGCCAGGGGCGCAAGTGTATCCTTGCACGCCTGATTTTCTGCCTGCTATATTTCGGACATTTGTACTTACTTGTAATCCGTTCTTTTTCCTTTCAAATGATTTACTGAATTTTCATTCTCTTATATCATATTATCTTATATCATATTAGGGGTTTAACTTATCGTTAACGATAAATGACTGGAAACTTTTCGAGATGCACATCACCGGTGAGTATAGCTTTGTCATAGACAAGTGGATTCATTTGTTTTCAAGNAAGTGTATCCTTGCACGCCTGATTTTCTGCCTGCTATATTTCGGACATTTGTACTTACTTGTAATCCGTTCTTTTTCCTTTCAAATGATTTACTGAATTTTCATTCTCTTATATCATATTATCTTATATCATATTAGGGGTTTAACTTATCGTTAACGATAAATGACTGGAAACTTTTCGAGATGCACATCACCGGTGAGTATAGCTTTGTCATAGACAAGTGGATTCATTTGTTTTCAAGAGATCTTAAAGCTGGCTCCTTGAATAACCAGTATGAGTATTAGTACTTAGCCATTAACGGATCAGCGTAATTATGGTAGAAAGAATTTAATATGCAAATCTAGGAGGATGTTATCCACACTTGGTGGATAACACTGCGGAAGATGATCCTCCTTGATATACGTCACATCACACCAGAGTTGAATGACCTGATGATGAGTATTATGAAGAATTCAGCATAAAGTTTCATATCATACGAAAGCGGAATCCAATAATTGTTTTACCATTAATTCAAAATACTTCTAAGCTCAAAACGTGCATGCTTCCTCCTGCTATGTCACTCTTCGAGTAAAAGTTCTTGCCTTCAAAACATTTGCATCCCTTTGGGCGAGGGGTCACCCTTTTTTCTGGGCACATCAGGGTCAGTCAGGATATGATGGGATGTTTATTGTTGTAGATAGTCTTCATATTATAACAGTTTTCGTCTGTCGGGCGGTATTTTTGCCTTTTTCTGATGTTCTCAGTTTAAGGGAGTAGATCGGCCTTGAAACTAAACTACGCTCTGCAGAGGCCATGCAATCAACTGAGGGCCAAAATTACTTCTTCCGTATTGATATTTGCAAACGTCTTTCAAATTTGGTCACCGCTAGCTGATTAAATTATATAAGGCTATTTAAAATAAAACAAGCCTAAAATAAAAGCTTAATACTTCTTTTTTCTATTTTTGTTACTTTTAGGAAAGAAAGAGTTTACAAAGTGCGAAGTCCTCAATATTCTTGGCACTGACATGAAAGTGTGTATCAGGTTGACGGACCTGTCACTACGCCCAGGACATATTGGCGGATGTGTGGATATCATCATCCCCGAAATGCAACTGGAAGAGCGTTTGGGATGTTTTTTCATGAATCGCCTGGGTATAAGGAAATAGCTAGCCTAGGGTAGAACGCGATAGTCATCGAATGTTCTTGAAATCGGAGACTTGTCATGAAGTTATATAGCGGCTCTTACGACTTAAAACAAAATTAGAATCGGCCAATATTGTTTTGAATATTTAGTAATTTGAAATGGAACATTTTAAAGAGTTTTAAGGGGGATGATTAATGCATAAATAAAGTTAGCTTGGTTGCTTTAAGAAATAAAATTATATTAAACAACACTGTTTTCGGATTTGAGGCCACTGAGAAGTTTGTTGTTTGTTTGTTCTTGCCGTCAGCACACAATGAAGAACTGGTGTTTGAGCTTGGTCAGCCCATAGGCTTTTCAGGATATCTATAGCAGACGGGATATTGACTGTCATATCTGTTGTAGCACGCTGTACACTGGTCCATGTTATAATTAGAGTGGTATTCACTTCACCCTCCCCGTGTCTAGTTGAAAGCGATGTCGAGCCCCACTCCCTCTTCTCTAGTCAGGTCCTTTTGATCGACTCTCCTGATCTCGCGATCGTGAAGCGCGCATGTTTTCCACAAGGGGCCAGTTCCTGGAAAGACTATTAGCGCTATTACGGAGTCAAACTTTCATTCACGGTCAGATTCACGGTTGTATTTTCCTGTTTTTTCTTTTTCCCCTTTCCTGAAGTGTTTAATTTAAATACAAAAAGGCTGAACTTTCAAGGCCCTATTCTTTGAGATTTAGTGTTTTTGCCGTGGTCTTGGTCACGCGATAAGCCCAGTGAATACATAAATGACCTCACTTTACGTGGCCTAATGTGCTAAACACATGAGTTTCATGGTACTGCCTGTGCTTGCCTGTGCTGCACATGGCGGGCAGTCTCCCGTGAATATTGTTGCCATGGTTACAGTGACGCAAGCTTAATGTCGCTAATGGCTCTAATTGCGTAGTCGGTGTAAACTGTCATCTAAATTCTTGACAGTAAAATTAAAAATTAAGGGTTAGGGTTAGAGGTATCTCGCTTAAGTGGGGTAGCCTACCAGTCCATATAATCTTTCATTTTAATTTGATCACCCTCTCAGCCGAGGTCCCATTTTGCCATATAAACCTTTCAAGGTGGGGTAACCCGCCTTAAAAGCCGGGGTTGCCGGATACGTGTTACATCACATTTCATTCGTGGACTGAACAACACAAACTAATTATCTGCCTTAATTGGCGAAGGCTTTGCTTCTTTTTCAACCCACAGCATTGAAAGATTTCAGAAAGTAAGGGTAGAAAAGCATTAACCTCCGAAAAACGTCCTTTCCCATTTAATAATTTTGAGAGATTATGAGATAGTGCACCCCGCGACGGCGGGGTAGCAAGATTTCATTTCATGTAAACGCGGGATATGTTTTGCCCTAGCTGAG